AGAGGTCCTCCACACAGACACTAAAAAGTCTGTCAAACTGTGGTTCTGTTGCAGCCTGATTACCGGCGTCTCCTGGCTTAAAAACCAAAACAAAACAAGAGGCAGTAAGAGCCATGCCCCTTACTAGGAATTCTCACTGGGGGGCTACAGAAGCTGAAGAGATATGAAGGAGTTTGATGAATTCTGCTCCTCAGCACCATCCTGCCTTCTCCCCCTTTTTTCTGTTCCTCCTATCCTCTAACTTGGAGTTGCCAACTCCAGCCCATCTATCTTTTTCTGATTAAGAAACCTTCAAGCCGTATAAGGCCCTCTGTTGCCTATGGTTTATGTTGGCTGGAGACCGAGGTTGTTTTTGCAAAGTCTGATTCAAAGAAGTAGCAAGGGGTGCGTGTGTGTGTGTGTGTGTGTGTGTGTGTGTGTGCGCGTGTGCATGCGTGCCTCCATTCCCATCTGCTCCGTGGGGCTGGACTGCCTTCTTGGACAGATTCATCTGGTGGAGTTGGGGGGGGGGTGCTAGGGTGAGGGCCTAGCGTTGGCTCCAAGGCCAATGAGTGGTGTGACCCCAGGGCTTCCTGGCAAATGCATTTGCTGAGAACTCCCAAGTAGAAAGTGAGCCCCTATTGGATCATGTAGTGTGTACCTAATCTACCAGCCAGAGAAGCACTGTATTTCTGAAATAGATTCCAGAATTTGCTTCTGTTTATTAATTAAGAAACTATAGGGGCGCCTAGCTGGCTCAGCTGGAAGAGCATGCAACTTGACCTCAGGGTTGTGAGTTCGAACCCCGTGTTGGGTGTAGAGATAATTTATTCATTTATAAAGATTGTATTTATTTATTTGACAAACAAGAGATCACAAGTAGGCAGAGGCAGGCAGAGAGAGGGGGACACAGGCTCCCTGCTGAGTAGAGAGCCCGATGCGGGGCTCGATCCCAGGACCCCGAGATCACAACACAAGCTGAAAGCAGAGGCTTTAACCCACTGAGCCACCCAGGTGCCCCTGTAGAGATTATTTAAATAAAACTTCAAAAATAAAAATCAAGGGATGCCTGGTGGCTCAGTCAGTTAAGTGTCTGCCTTCGGCTCAGGTCATGATCCCAGGGACCTGGGATTGAGCCCTGCGTTGGGCTCCTTGCTTGGTGGAGAGTCTGCTTCTCCCTCTGCCCCTCACCCCCCTCATGCTCTCTCTCTCTCTCTCTCAAATAAATAAATACTCTTAAAAAAATAAATTTCAAAACTGCATCACTCGAAAAATTTTAAAAAAGAAACGAAAAGAAACTGCAGCCCCTTGGCTCTTTGAGCTGAGCAAGTGGGTTCTCCTCTCTGGAGGAAGTTGGGTGAACCGTCCCTCCAGGTTCTTGACCTTCAGCGCAGCTTCAGCTGGGTGATGGTGCAGAGCGACTTCTCCGGCAGCAGCCCTTCGACCTCATCTTCCCCTCCCCGCTTCTTGCTGCCCCTTGAGTCAGCCAAGTGTGTTCCTGCCTTAGTACTTTGGCACATGTTCTCCCTGCCTGGAACTTTCTCGCCTCTCCTTTCCCTGTCCTCCCAGATCTTGGCACGGCTACCCCTCACTGTTCCAGCTCTGCTGCCACCTTTGGAGAGGCGTTCCCTGACCATTCTGTCTGAAGCTCCCTCTGCCAGGCGTACTTAACCCGGCTCTTCTCGACCCGAGTTCCTCGTCTAAACTACAGAGCACGTGACTGAGCGACTAACTCCACTAGTACCCTTCCAAATGCACAGGAATATAGTTAATTTGTTATCTACAAGGGGTGCTTAGGCTCCGTTCCTTGAACACCCTTGCAAGGCTGCAGGTTTATGCTATTGGGTCGCTGTATCTTCACAGCATCTTCTCTGAAATGTGACTGCCTACCCCTCCCGCTACCTTTGCTTTCTGAGGGCTCTTTCCACCTCCTCAGCCCCCTCCACTGGACCTGGCTGGCTGTGGGAATTAAAAGCTTTATTCAACGACTAACCCTGAGGGGTCCTGCTGCCTGATGCTGGTTTAGACCTCAGGAGGGTGGGGGAGCCCCAGTACCTTAGCGCTGGAGGGTCTTGCCGTCACTAAAGCCCCTGCTCTTGTGGTTACTGCTGTCATACTGGCAGGGCACTTCGGGGGCTCTGAAGCAGAATTGACGTCAACTACGGGAAAATTAAAGCAATCCAAGTTTGTACATAGAGTTGACACTACAGGCTATACTGGTTAACAAGAATCCTAAAGGTCTGTGGTAATAGAGGGGCGCCTGGGTGGCTCAGTCGTTAGGCGTCTGCCTTCAGCTCCAGTCATGTTCCAGGAGGGACTTGGGATCAGGCCTTGCATCCCGCTCCCTGCTCAAGGGGAAGCCTGCTTCTCACTCTTCCACTCCCCCTGCTTGTAGTCTGTCTCTTGCTGTCTCTCTCTGTCAAATAAATAAAAAAAATCTTCAAAAAAAAAAATCTATGGTAATAGAGCATCTCTTGCTATTTAATAGTTAATATATTAGAGAGAGGGAGCAGAAGCAGGGGGAGCTGCAGAGGGAGAGGGAGGAGACTCCCTGCTGAGCAGGGAGCCTGATGCAGGACTCAGTCCCAGGACACTGGGATCATGACCTGAGCCAAAGGCAGTTACTTAACTGATTGAGCCACCCAGGTGCCCAAGAATATATTTTTTGTTCTATCAAAGCACTGCTGGTAGAAAGATTTGATACACAAGTTATACACAGTTACTCTTTGAAAGAAAAGCCCTTTCTTCTGAGCGTTTCTTGACCAGTCCTCTCCTTTAGAGGCAGCTGCCCTCAATTCTTCTAGGCTGTCCTCCTTGCCACTTACATCTGTATTTCTAGGTGGGATGCTTTTCTTTGCTTTCTTTCTTCCTTTAAAAAAAATTTTTTTTTTTTTAAATATTACGTGATTGTTTTTCTACTTTGGAAGGTAAGGACTTGGCTCATTCCTACACTTTTTTTTCTCCCCTCATCTTCTTGGCATGGGGGTAGCTAGCACAACTTCTAGTCAAGGTGCTGTTGAGTGTACATTATGATGTAAATATTGCTTACGGGCCTCAAAGTTCTTGGTTTTCCCTATTTCCTTTCTTGTATCCACCCCCCACCTTTCCTCTCCTAGTTCATTTCCTGTGTTTCTTTACCTCCGTTGTCTATGTCTCACTTGATCTCCAGCTCTTCACTGAGCCTTGGCCAGTAGCTGAGTACCTCATTATGCTTAAACACAGCAGGTTCTCAGCTGTTCATGCTGTTCCTGGGAGGCACCCTTGTCCCTGACTCTGCTTCCCCTTCATCCTGGGAATCCATTCTTCCCTTTTGTGTTGCTTTGTGGATGGGTGTCCCCCTCCTTTCTTGGATTACTCCCGTGTCTTGGTGGACAAGGTGTCTTGGTGTCTTGTTTTCAGGAGCTTGCTGAGGAAAAAATGGGGGAGGGGGGGCAGCCAACTAGAAGCAAGTTGATTCATGCTCAAGGACAAGTTCTTTTGAAGGGATGGGTTTGGGTTGTGGCTGAAGACTTGGTGGGAAGTCAGCAAAGACAACGAGGCGCCCACAATCCTTTCACCATGCCAGCAGAGTTATCTGGCTTCACTTTATGGAATAGTTTCAATGAGAGGGGATCTGGATTGGACATCAGGTAGTGAGGAGAAAGGGTATGGAATGAAAGTCTACGTATTGAATGGGACAACCCAAGCAAGCCCTCTTGGCTTTCACAGTGCTGGTGTTCAAACTGACAACCTCTCCACCCTGGGACATTGGAACATTCTAATCTGTGGAAACTGGCAGCCTCATTTCTGTTTGTCCCCAGCCCCAGCTAGGATACTTGCCTGACTCTTGGACCAAAGTTGTCAGTTGGTCAGTGGCAGATAGTGGCACCAAGAGGCCCACTGAAGAAGGTCATTGGTTTTGTTTGTTTGTTTGTTTTTTGCCCCCAAAGAAACAGACTTTAAAGTGCCTCAAAAGTACAGTCTGTCTGTTTCATTTCTGTGTTCTGCTGTGCTTTGTACCCTGTAGGTGCCCATAAATATTTGTTGGGTAGAAATGACCTTAGGCCTTTATGTGATTTCTGAGTTGGTCATATTCCACTATCTGCCATTTGGGAAATCATTGTCTCACCTGTTGCTTTGCCTACCTGAGGTGATGGTGTGAAGGTCTGCTTGCCTTACACGGTCTTTTCTGATTCCTTCTGAAGGTGTGTGTCTTCTTCATTAGCATTTTTGGGTAAGATTGTTGTCAGAGCACAAGTTCCTATCTTTCGGGCAGTCTTGGGTAGTGTTCCAGGGTCATGATTGGGAACTCTCTGTACCTGGGAATACTTCCCTGGCACCTGCTTTATCACTATCCTCAGAAATCTGTCAGAATTTACTGGTAAAGCAATTTGGTGGCCAAGAGCTGGGAATAAGGGACAGGATGGATGTCACAACCATGTGAAAGCTGCATTCCTACCTCCCCCCCACCCATGAAGCAGTGGGAAGACCTTTGTAGAAAATGTTGATTTCCCCCCATCTCCCCTTTATCATTTGAAACCTAATGAGACTGGACCTGTCAGGTGTTCTGTCAGCAGAGCGAGGGAGACTGGGCATGTCACCTTTGTATGGAATTCTCCTTTTTACCAAGTTTTCCAAACTGGGAGTTAGTTTAATTTATAGTTGATCTAGAGGAGAAACAGCTCTTAATTTGAGACCATGTCCGGAGAGGGGATTTTTCGCTTCTGGCTCTTCTTAACCTGGAGTTCCTGGGATTGGGCTTTGGGTCTCCATTTTGGCTGGAAAAACCTTCACTGAGCAGGTGTTCCCACCCAGACACACTGGGTTAAGCCTCCAGTTTCCTGGAGAGCAGCCCAGGAAGTGTTCTGTGACTTCTGGACAGCTGATCTACTGAGAATAGGGAATGGGCCTGGGCCAGGCAAGGTGCCTCACCTGGCTGCTCTGTGGGGCCATCACAATGAAGGGTGGGGGGGGGGGGAGTATGGGGCAGGACCTCACAGCTCCACTGTGAGCTAATTTGGAATCTTCAGGGTGCCAGCATGAGTCACAGCCCACACAGCCCCCCTACGGTTGAAGGTAACAACTGTTTGAACATCAGGGCTGGGCTGAGAGCTACATCCCTGAGGCATGGCTCCAGCACTCTGATTCCCCGGCCCCAGCCATGCTGCTGAGGGGGAGTGGCCCAGCTTACCATCGGCCTCACCCTCAGTGGCAGCACCAGACTCTGCCCAACAAGGTAGGCTTTGGTTTTCACAGCATTCACCCAGCTCTTGTGTTTGTTTCCGGTCTGCTGGGAACACCTCTAGGACTGCGCTTTCTTGTAGGAAGCCACCAGCTGTATGTGGCTATTTAAATTTAAATATTAAATAAAATTTTAAAATTCAGTTTCTCAGTTACACTGGTCACATTTCAAGTGAGTAAGTAGCTGCCAGATAGTCTCCACTTGGAGATCACCTGGGCCTTTGCCTCTTGTGACCTGCTCTGCTTTGGCCATGTTTCAGCTGCTGCCTCTTCTTCCCGTTGCCTTGACAGTAAAGGTCAAACTCCTTTTGTCTGGCCCCTACCAGCTCTTCAGCTTTGGCTCCCAGGACTTGTTCTGCACTGTCTGGATCTTGCTGCTCCCTTCCATCCCCAAAGGCATCTTGGGTTTAGAACTTTAATTTATGCCTGTAACTCACCATTGCAACCTCAGCAAATTGTGGCTGCCTCTGAGGCAGTCTTGTCTGGGTTCTGTTGGCCTGCTTCTGAAATCGGGCTCAGCTTGGTGCAGGTGTGTGAGAGACGCACACAGATTCTTCATTATGCGTTGTGAGCTTCTGGTGGACAGAGTCTTTTCCTGACAGCAACTTAAACCTATTTATGTGTGAATTATTACATGAGTGAATGTATGTGTGTAGCCTCAACCTGATGAGTCAGGTAAACCCATCCTGTAGAAACCAAAAGGCCCTCTTGTGGTCTTACACAGACCTCCGTGTGTGTGGTCTTCCTCCAGCTGACTGGTGGGGGTGGAGTGGGGGAGGGGGAGGGGGAGGGGGACTTGACCTGGCCCACAGCCATCTGCTCTTTGAAGGCAGTGGCAGCAAGTCCTGGACTTCAGGTTCTGGATCATGTGGCTGTTTCCTGTCCTTTGAAGACCCCCTCAAGGCGAAAAGGCCTTCAGCAACAACTTGATGGGCTGAGCATTCTAGAGATGGACTGGGTTGAACACCTGGGGAGAGTCTTTGGTGATATGAACACATAGGCCTGGAATAATGGATTTATTCATATTTCCACTTGGAGCGGGCATTACATAAAAGTCCGTTTAGATTGCTGATTGCGTGTGACCTCACTGACCAGGCCCAGGCCCGCGCTGGACTTGGTGGCCGCTCGGCTCCCAAGTGCTTGTATTGATGATCAGCTTTCCCATCAGTCAGCTACATGAAGCTCTTTTATTCCCCACAATAACTGCAGCCAAACGGGCTTAGTCACTGGGACCCACAGTTTGTACTGTTCCCAGAAATTTATTTTCTTGTTTAGCAGAAGGCTCTAGACTGCAGTAACTGGGTTGGTCATCGGTGCTGGGAGTGAGGCCATTACTTCTCCAGAGTAAGCTTTTCTGAGAAGCCGCAGGTTCCTCTGGGAGGAAGGAAAGGAATCCTTTTAGAACCCAGACAGAGCAGGTGAACCTAGGGCTTTGTAGGGCCACAGCACGTGCCTGCCTTGGGCTCTGTGTGACCGCTGGGCAGGCAGCCAGCATGCTTCCATCCCCGGGCAAACGGACCTGCTAAAAATAAGCAGGTAGCTATTTAATCCCAACAGATTCAAAACAGATGCGGCTCCTCCCTGCCAGCCCTCAGGCAGGGCTCTGCATCCTTCTGCAAGGCTTTTCTCTGGCTTGTCAGAGTGTCTGGGGCCTCGGGAGGGGGAGTCCCTGGGGGAGGTGGTGCCTTCAGTTAGCTGTGAGTGTGAAGGCTTGTAGACCAATGGTGTTAAATGCCACTTATATCTTGAAGTTTGGGCTTTTTACAGAAAACAAAAATCCAAAAACCGGGGCAAAGAGAGTAACTCGAGAATCTGTTCCCAGAGAAGGCAGGTAGGCTGAAGCGTGCACACCTGTGCACGTGGGCCTGCGTGTGTATGCAAGGGTGAAGGCGGCTGTGTCTGAGAATTCAGGAAGGGCTGGGGCCTCTTCAGCACCTGTCCAGGCCTATCAGACCATGTAAAGCAGGGAAAATGGCACTGTACGGATTCACAAAAAATCCGTTTGACTGAGGTGAGATTGGCTCCAGTAGGAGTCTTGGAAGTGAAGGGCTGAGGAAGGGAGGGACTTCTCAGGACTGGGGGAAGTGGGGGCTTCAGTCACCAGGTGCTCCCAAGTGGCGCCTCTGGGCAGCAGTGCCTCCAGTGAGTTCCGGCAAGGCTCCTTTGGACTGGCCGGCTGCTCATCCTCTAGGCTCTTGGCCCTGTTCCTGGTGGAGATGACTGGTAGGTCTAACCACAGTCCCCAGGTAGCAAGGAAAAAAACAAAGCCTGCCTTCTCCTGCCTGGGGATCTCCTACCTCTTTCCTCAAGTTGCAGGAGCACTTCAGTTGGGTAGTTCCTGTCCCCAGAGGTCCATGGAGGAGCAGGGGTCCTGTCTCCTGGCTCTCCAGCTCTAGTCCGAGGGCAGAGTGGTGGGCACTGGGGATCCGGGTGGGGCATTCATTATTCTTTGGGTTGGGGTTGGGTGATGCCGCCTCAGGGTACCAGTGTTGAACCTCAGGGGCCTCATGCCACAACAGCAGGAGGCATCTGGCTTGGAAATGGTGCCGAAATGGTTTCCTGAGCTGTAATTAGCCACATAGCTGCAGCTGACTGTCTGCAGAAAGCTGTGGAGGGTGGGTTTGGGGGCTCAGAGCCTCCATCTCTGGGATACTAGTGGGCCAGGGTGGGGAGGGTTAGGTGGGTGTGTGGTGAGGGTCTCCTGCCAAACTACAGGGCGGTGTTGTGTCCCCAGGTGACTGGTCCTGTGCTCAATGTGAACCTGGTCTGGGAGAAAAAGGGATGAAGTGGGGCTGGGGAACAGTGACCTGGGTCGGGGGCAGGTAAGGGGCTACGTTGTAGTGTGGATCAACTAGGGTGTAGGACCAAAGCCAGGCTGGGAGAGTATGCTCGAGTGTGGGCTTCTGATTTATAGCCCATTCCTGGGATCTCCAGAGGTGAACCGGGGTCAACTGCTGGGTCCTTAGGATCAACTTCTAGTACCAAAGGGTGGGGACTTCTCCCAGCTGTTTCGAGAGGCAGTTTGTATCTTGGGTAGCAACTCCCTCCTTGCACACCTCAATTTGAGTTTGGCCTTGTGCCTTTGTTAAAACAGGAGACTGCCCTCTATAGGTTGTTCTACCTAGGATTCTTTATCTTCCTCTCTACCCCTTCCATGGAATTTTGTTCTTCAGATCAGAGAATTGGTAGAAGACCATGGGAATCAGAACTATAAATCCTGCTGAAATGAGATTGACTAGTTAGTAAGGAATCAGAATCTAAATTGGCAAGAGGAGAACACAGGTTGAGATCCTAGCCACACTTTTCCTGTTGCCTGTCACCTGTTGGGTGGGACTGATCTGACAGTAGGCCACATCACAGTCATACTGCTTTATCCTGAGCACACCCTTCCCCCAAAGCCTCTCTGTTCCTTCTCAGATTTTATTTTTGTGTGGAAGACCTTGACTGCAAAGAAAATACTCTAATGTCATCTACCGCCTCTTCGAGGCTGTGCACTTTGTTCGGGAAAGTGATTCTCTAACTTGAGTGTACATTGGAATCACCTGGGTTGGGGGCACCTGGCTGGCTCGCTCAGTGGCACGAGCAACTGTTGGTCTTGGGGTTGTGAGTTCAAGCCCAATGTTGGGTATAGAGATTACTTAAAAATAGAAAAATATTAAACAACACCCACCCCCAGCCAAACAAACCAAAAAACCTGGTACCTTGGTCTCACTCTCAGAGATTGTGATTTAACTGATTTCGGTGCCACCTTGGCCTTGAGGTTTTAAAAGCTTCCCAAGTGATGATAAGGTGCCACTGAGTTGGAGAACTGCTGAGAGAGAGCAGTTTAAATCTCTCTCCCCAAAAGGAAGAGATTTTTATCTTAGGTTAGCAGATAAGAAAAAAACTACTGGAACTAATAAATGAGGTCGGTAAGTTTATAGGATACAGGATCCGTGTGCAAAACCATCTCCTCTCCTACAATTGGAAGGCTTGGCATGTATCCCTCCCGGTTTTTCAGTAGGATTATGCGGATGTAGACATTCCATGGATGGTGGTCTGCAGCTTTTATTTTTGGTGTCATGGCAGTTTTTCTACATCTGTATGGGAGATCAGCCTACTTCTCTATCACTGGTATGTCCGTGGATTCTGCAGTATATTTAGCAGTGAGTCTCTAGAACTTTGTTTCAAATGATGCCCCAGTGAACTTTTATATAGGCCTTTGCCTATGCAGAATTTTTTTCTCTTTTTTTTTTTTTTTAAAGATTTTTATTTATTTATTTGACAGAGAGATCACAAGTAGGCAGAGCGGCGGCAGAGAAAGAGGAAGGGAAGCAGGCTCCCTGCTGAGCAGAGAGCCTGATACAGGACTCGATCCCAGGACCCTGGGACATGACCTGAGCCAAAGGCAGAGGCTTTAACCAACGGAGCCACCCAGGCACCCCTAGAACTTTTTTTTTTTTTTAAGAGAAGATGGCAGGTGTGAGGTTTTTAGGTCATAGTTATAACGTTTTAAGAGCAATGTGAACTCCCCCTTTCCTTGTTCCGTATGCTGCCTCATTTCCTCAGACACAGTGTGTTCCAGACTTGACGGGGAATAGAACCCAACTTCCAATCCTTGACTATATGACCTTGAGCTTTTTTATTTATTTATTTATTTATTTTTAAAGATTTTATTTATTTGATAGACAGATCTCAAGTAGGCAGACAGGCAGGCAGAGGGAGAGAGGAGGAAGCAGGCTCCCTGCTGAGCAGAGAGCCCGATGTGGGGCTCAATCCCAGGACCCTGGGATCATGACCTGAGCCACAGGCAGAGGCTTTAACCCACTGAGCCACCCAGGCACCCCGAGCTTTTTTATTTTTGAAGTATTTATTTAAGTAATAACTATGTCCAACATGGGGCTCTAACTCATGACTCCAAGGTCAAGAGTCGCATGCACCACTGACTGAGCCAGCCACATGCCCTGCTTGAGCTTTTTCTTTCTTTAATTAAGAAGGCTTCACGCCCAACATGGAGCCCAACTCAAAGCTTGAGCTCAGGGCCCTGAATTGAGACCTGAGCCAAGATTGAGTGGAACACTTAACCGATCAAGCCACCCAGGTGCCCTGCTGACCCTGAGCTGTTTTGACCTTGATGATGGCAATACATTCCAGACCAGGTGGTTGAGGATTAAGTGATACAAGGGAGAACACCTAATGGGGTTCTTTGTTGGAATCTAAAGTTGTGAGGAGTGTCGTTGAACTTTCTGCCTGGAGGGATTGATAGGATCTTGGGAGCCTGGCCACTGCTTAGCTCTGCTTGATATTTTGCAGTCCCAAAGATTCACTTTCAGATATTAACAAGAAGGTTTATGGCTTTCCCCGCCCCCTCACTTTGGGGCAGAACATGGTTCCTGTGTTCTTCACTAACTGTAATGTGTTTGTGAATCCCTTGGGGGTCTTATTAAAATGCATCTTGTGATTTAGTAGGTCTGGGCTGGGGCTCTGTTTCTAGCAGGTTTCCAGGTGATGCTCAGTGCTTCTGGTCCATAGACCACCCTTTAAGAAGCAGAGTCCTAGAGCAGTGGTTCCCAGTGGAGGCATAAATCCAAATTAAGCACAATAAAGCACAAATCCAAATTAAGGTATAATTTGCAATATCAGTGGAGGATTTTTGGTTTTAAGAAGGCTCGTGATTTTTGCAGACAGAATAAAATTTACTGGCATGGGAGGTACTGAATTATAAGCATTCTAAAATAAGTCTGTCACAAACCTCTAAAGAGAGCAAACCCAGCTTTGCATAGCACTTAATACATATCTCAACTAATCCTTGTACCAGCCATGCTTTATGAGCTGTGACCCCATCTTATGAGGAAGAAAACTGAGGTTCCTATCTCCTTTATGTGTCTATTGCCTTCTCCTCGCCCAGATCCAGTTGACTTTGGTGTCCAGGTTCCTGTTGCTTGGTATCCTGTTTCTTCTACTCCCAGGATCACCTGGGAACACAGATTGGTGTGTGTGCCTTGCAGACCTCCGAGGGTTCTCTGTTGCCTACAGGCTAAAGTCCAGACTCCACAGTGAGGCCCCAGAACCCTCACTGAGTCCACCAAACAGCTTGATTCTTCAAGCATGACTGTACCTCCATGCCACTGTCTGTTTTGCTGGTCCGTCCCCCTGGAGCCTCCCCCTCTTCCCTTCGAAATCATACTCATCCTTGGTCCCAGGGCTTTCTTGCTGCATAACTGTTTCATTGATGATTTTGTGGGCGATGTGAAGGACATAGATACATGTAGTTTCACGGGTCTTTAAAAATACTCCAGTGTCAGGGTGCCTGGGTGGTTCAGTCAGTTAAGCATCTGACTTGATTATGGCTCAAGTCATAAATTCTCAGGGTTGTGAGATCAGTGGATCCCGTCAGGCCCTGCATTCAGCAGGGAGTCTGAGATTCTCTCTCCCATGTCCTCTCTTTCTCTTTCAAAAAAAAATCCAGAACAAAACAAGAAAACAAACAAACAAAAAAACCCTCCAGTGTCATCTGAGTAGATAAGTGCTCTGGGAGTTCAGAGAACTAAAACACTAAACATGCTATCCCCTTGGGGGAACATGGAATTTGGCAATGAGAAGTGATGAAGGAAGGGATTTGGGTCCAAGAGAAGGCTCATCTTGTTTGAAGGGAGTGTGCGTGGATGAGGGAGCAGAAGGGGGCTTGTCTCCCTGCCCACCTGCCTCAGGTGGACAGTGCTGTGGATTTGGGCAGGGGGAGGGAAGCCCCTTACAGGGGCAGGAAAGGGAGAGAGAGCAGCTGGTTGTCTTGCTTGTGTAGTGGCATCAGGATCCCCCTGCTTGGCTCTTATAGCATCTCTCTCTCTTTTCCTCCTCTCCAGGTATAATTTCTTCAGGCCTCCAGGATGGCCATCCAGTTCCGTTCACTTTTCCCCTTGGCATTGCCTGGAATGCTGGCAGTCCTCGGCTGGTGGTGGTTTTTCTCTCGTAAAAAGCACGTCAGCAGCCAGGACAGACAGGTGGAGGCCGGCGCTGTGGAGCGGAGGGCTGGCCGTGCCATCAAAGAGCCACTCGCCCGGGAGGACCCCTGTCCTGGAGTAGTGTCCCCGCCCCCCAGCATCGGAGCCCCAGTGGAAAGGGAGCCATCCGCTGTGAGCAAGCCTCCCTCGGAGCCCCCAGCCTTGCTGCGGCCACATGCATCCTGTCGGCGGTCCGAGTCCTCTGGCAGCCTTCCTAACACCACAGATACAAGATTGCGACCAGGAACGCGCAGAGATGACAGTGCAAAGGTGGAACTAGCCCTGACGGGTGACGAAGCCGGGTCCGTTCCTCCAGAGTGTCCCCTCCCAACTCCAAAGAGTGTTCCTTTCCCCCACTTGGCGGCTGAGGTGTGCAAGCAAGAGGCGCTGTTCAGTGCGATGGGAGGGCGGGGCTGGCAGGGCCAGGCTGCAGCCCCCCAAGAGAAACCAAGAGAGACGGGTGGGTCTGAAGGCACTGGGGACGCAGTGTCTGGAGAAAGCCTGCCTGAGGAGGGTGTGTTGTACCAGGAGCATGACTCCGACTCGGAGATCCGCAAGGTGCCCAGTCCGGGGGAGAAGAGGCAGGACGGACCGCCACAGACGGAGGAGGATGCTGTGGGGAAGCTGTTGAGCAGCCTTATCGAGTCGGCTCACTCAGAGCTGATGGAGGATGACGAGCTGCGGGCACCCTGGGTTGGCGACCGAGCCTGTGACGCAGATGGTGCCAGGGGGCCGGGCAAGGAGGAGGCCGTGGAGCAAAATGAGAAGATCGAACAGGCTGCCTACCAGATCATCTCCAGAGTGATCTTGGAGGCAACTGAAGAGGTGCTGGCCACCACCGTGGGCAGGATTGCAGATCGGGTGTATCAGGCTTCAGCTGGTCAGCTCCAAGGGCAGAAGGAAGAGAGCTCTGGGCCAGTCTGCCAGAAACCTTCCCCCGGGCAAGATGCCGGGGAGCCCGCTCCTGCCACCGTGGAGCCAGAGGCAGCCTCTGGCGCAGACGCCGCCCTCCCCTCGCCAGGCCTGCCCGCAGAGGACCTGCCACCACCAAAGACCTACAAGAGCTGCCTGAGCAGCCCTTTGTCCAGTCCCACCAAGGACAGGAAGCCAAAGAACTCCGCACACCACATCTCCCTGGCCCCCTGCCCTCTGCCAGCCGTCCCCCAGGGAGAGTCACCTGATGAAGCCAGTGTCCTGGTGCAAAATGCCGGATGTGTCCTCTGCGTCCCCTGCACTTCTGAGAGTGGCCAGGATGTCCCTTCAGTGGCCTCGGAGCAGTGCTCGGATTCCACCAGCACTTCAGGGCTTGAAGACTCATGTACAGACACCAACTCAAGCCCCAGGAGCAAGGCCGTCTCCCCGCCGCTGCCAGAAAGTACTGTGCCCTTCAGCAATGGGGTGCTGAAAGGGGAGCTCTCGGACTTGGGGAATGAGGATGGATGGACCGTGGATGCAGAAGCAGATCATTCGGGAGGTAGGAGGGTCTTGGATGGTCCTCTCTTAGAGGAAGGAGTGGGGGGCGGTTCTCCTTTGTTCGTAGGCAAAGGCTGCCAGTCTGCCTGTCCCTCTGCTACTTGTGCAGTAGTAATGCTCTTCAACTCCGTGTCCCCGTGGGCCTGCAGAAAGTCGGGGCCCAGCGTAGCACTGGTGGGTAGCTGAGAAGTTAGGCTCTCCCGAACCCCCCAAAGCCACAGGAGCTGTAACTTGGTTCAGCAGCCGGGGACCATCCTCAGTCCTCCCGAAGGAGCCAGCTCCATGTTGGGTTTGGTGGTTAACCTCCCCCTGCCTCTTCCTCTCTCAACCCTAACCTCTTAAAGGTTTTTATAACGGAGAGGCCTCCTTAGCTTTAATTCCCAAGTGCCAAGAATGGGTGTGAACTTTTTTCCAATGGTTTATTTCCTTTTAATCATGTGCTTGTTCCCATGTCTTCACCTGCCTTCCTTCTCCAGAAGCTCTTACCGGGTAAGTGCCCAGAGAGCGGCCACAGCCTTGACACTTGAGGGAGGCTCTCGCTCTCCTGCCTTGTTGTCGCCACTATTCCTCCGCAGAGAGCCTCCGCCATTTACTTTCTGTGCAGCTGCAGTTCCGTCCCCGGGAAAGAGGGGCGCTTTGGTCACGAGTGTCCACTGGGGTTTCGAGTGCTGGCCCCAACGTAGGCAGTTCAGACCGCTCACATACAGGTCAGCAGCTCCTGACCCTGGTTTCGAAGCCACCCTGGGGTATTTCCAGTTATCTCCTGTAAAGGGGCCATGAATTCCCCGTGGGGGTCTCTGCCTTGCTTATCCCGGAGCTACTCCCTACCACCTCCGCTCAAGGAGGGTTGGGAGTCTTTTGTGGGAATTTGACTCCTTCCAGCCACATCTGGTGTGTACCCCACGCCGTGTTTTGTCATCTCTGAGACGGCTGTTGAATTAAGACACCACTGATTCCTCTACCTCTAAATGAAAGAAAACTCATCATTGTGATCATGATCATAGAAGGCCAGAGACTCGAAGATGCATCCAGATTTCAGGGATGTTAAAATGTTGTTTAAAGATCTTAACATGAGTAAACAAAAATTTTTCTAAGAATGGAGTTTCCCTTTATCCGCTGGCCCTCTGCTGAGTTAAGCCCCTTAGTCATGTCCTGCCACCGGCAGATGCAGCATAGCAGCTGCTCAGGTGTGGCGAGGGCCTGGAGTTGAGGCCTCTCGGGAGAGCAGGCTGGTGGCCGGGAGGTACAGGGACCACAGACAGGGGCTGCCAGTGCCAATCACTCGGCACTCGTGCAAAGCACAGGCTCCCGCCTCCCTGGCATCTGCACCCGAGCGCGCATAGCCCTGCCTATGGGTGAGGAAGTTGGAACCTAGGGGCCCGGGGACTGCCGACTGAGGAGGCTGGCCTGTGAGCGCAGACTGCTGGAGTCTGAGCCACTTCTGGGTATCCCTGGGGTGACCCATATCGGCCAGTCCTGTTCTATCCAGGGGAGGCAGGGGCCCCTGATGTTGAGGGACAAGGCCATTTCGAAGGTGACTCATCCTTAGCTGGGGACAGAATCTCTTTTAAGTCTTATTCTGCATCCAGACAACATGTGTTGCTTGGCAAAGGATTATGTCCAGAGTTTGGAGAAACCATGTGGATAATAACCTAATTAGTAGAATCTCAGGAGCAATCTATTTCTGGCAGTTAAGTGTCCCATGTTTAAGCCAGAATCCTTCCTCTTGAGCTGGTCTGTACCTGTGTTTTTCCGGGATAGCCCCTCGGGCACACTCTTGAACAGGAGTGCAGCAGACCACATCAATGCCCAGGGTCCTGCTTCCTGCCCTGTCGTCTGGGGCATGAACTTGAGTCTTTTGACTTGGGGGTAAAGACCCGCCATGAGCCCTGAAGAGTATGCAGAAGTGTATAAGTCAGGCCTCCACAGAGGAAGAGGGGGGCCTCCTTCCTTCATTTACTCCCAGTAGGGCTCCAGGGCAGGATAAGAATGGGGCCCTTAGAAGAGCCATCAAGGAAGTACTCTTCTAGCTCTGCTTGACTGAAGTTCACAGCCCATGAGCCCAGGCTGGGGGCCGGGGGGGACTAGAGTCCCCTGGTCCGAGGGGCTGGCGCAGTTGAAGGGCGTGGGCTCGTTGTGACTGGTTGGTCTCTGTGGAGGCCAGCCCTGATAGCTGGCTCGGGGGACCATGTGGACCTGTTGGCCTGCTCCACCACCCTATGGACCCCCCCCCCTTCCCAGCTCACCACTTGTCTCTGCTCTGGCAGCTGTGGCTGGGTGTGGCTGCCAGTTCAGCAAGTGGGGCTGTGAGTGACAGGCTAAAATTAGGTGTATCTACACCCCCAGTCCTCCTTTCATTGGGGTTGTTCTAATAAGCCTTCTAGACTTCGGGTTGACAGTCACCTGCCAAGCTTGAGGAGGGGGTGTGGGGCAGGGGCCTCCTGGGAATGTGGATTTGAAAGTTCTGTGTTACTGACTGCTCTTAGCTGGCGTCTGTATGTCTGTGCATGCTGCTTCCTCCCCTGCAGGCTCAGACGGGAACAGCATGGACTCAGTGGATGGCTGCTGTGGGCCCAGGAAGACTGACAGTTTCCAGAACGCCCAAGTGGGCTCCAGTCCTAAGAAGGTGGACCTCATCATCTGGGAGATCGAGGTGCCCAAGGTAAGGGCTGCAAGGTCCATGGTGCCTCAGGCCCAGGGTCATCGGGCTGAGTGTGGAGGGACAGTAAACCCAAAGCAGCCCCCGAGTGAGCCAGGGGCTGGAGGGAAAAGGAGGCCCACATTCTGCGAGGGCCTGAGAGCTTCCTGTGATGTGAAGTTCCCGCAGCTGCCTTCAGGAGGGACCTGTTCTCATCTCCATTAAAACTCACAGGCTACTCACTCTTCCCCTGGGCTTCCTTGGGTTTGCTGGAGCTCCGATCTGTTTGGAGATGCTACTAAAAACCAGACTGAGGACGTGGGCCAGCCCAGAGTCCCTTCGCTGTGCCTGCTCAGAGCTCCCCAACGCAAAGTATTTTTGATAATTGAGCACAGCATAAATCCATATTTAAGAGAGCTTGAAAAGTATAGGCATGTAGGAAGAAAATAACAAGCTGCTCTAATCTAACCCCCGGGAGTGACTGTGAAGACGTGTGTTTCCTTCTCGTCTTGCACCCTGTGGTTTTTAAACAAAACTGAGATGATGGTGCTCTAATTAATGCTTTTAAATATTTAACAATTTCATTTTCCTGTGTTATTCTTTGAAAATATGATTTTAACTGCATTATTCATTGTATGAATGTCAGTTTACTTCGCCAGTCCTCAAATCCAGGGTACTGAGGTAGTTTCGAGCTTCTTGCTGTTCTAACTTAACAATTTTATTGGCTTGATCTTGATGTTTATCACCGGGGCTCAGAAATAATTGGCCAACTGAATTCTCCTGGGCACTAGCTCCCTGCTGCCGTGGAGACTTGGCTTGGTTTGAACCCTGGGTTAGGCAGGCTGCTTTGACCCCGGAGTGCTGGCTCCCTTGGTGTTTTCTCCCCCTGTGACCCCGAGAGCCATCATGCCCTCTACAAAGGGCATGGGCAGGCAGCTCTGTGTACCAAGCAGCTGTGTCCCTGGTAGCTCTGCTGGGGTGGGGTCATTTGGGATTGTCTCAGAGCTTGTCTTACTTACATCATGGCTAAGTTGGGCTGCTTCTGTCTGCCTTGAGCTCTTGGCACGCCAGGCACTTTGGTAAGCCTCGTGCTCTGGAGGCCCCGGGCCGCTATCAGTGGGCAGCAGAAGCCCAGAGGTTCTTTCTTCAACTTTTATTTTCAAATGGAGCCTCCTTATCTTCGAGCGCGGATAGACTTGAAGAGGTCGGAGAAGTCGTAAACCCACCCTTGTGCTGGTAAAACCTCTCCTAGTGTAGATTTGGGAGGAGAAGATGCTGGCTTTGCAGTTCTCTGGATGTGGGCCAAGTTGTCGGGGAAGAGAGGGGAACTGCTGAGTCTGGGAGCTAGACTGTGTAGTTCAGCACTTGGTAGCTGTGTCACGTTGGGAGAGTTACTTAGTCTCCTTGAGCTCGTTAACCTCATCTGTGGAGTGGTGATAAAGGTATCTGTTTCAGAGCTAAGCGCTCAGAACAGTGGCAGAGGAGTGCTGGCATGTTCATAGTTAATGAGATGTTTGAGCTTGACCTTGTATAAAACAAAGGTAGTCTTTGGGAACGTAGGGAATTGATTTCCCATTAACACCCCCAATTGTGTGTCTCTCTCTCTCAGCACTTAGTTGGTCGGCTAATTGGCAAGCAGGGGCGGTATGTGAGTTTTCTGAAGCAAACGTCTGGTGCCAAGATCTACATCTCAACCCTGCCTTACACCCAGAACATCCAGATTTGCCACATAGAAGGTCAGTGGCAGCTGCTGGCCTGGGTTTCATTGTCTTGCCTGAAATGTAAAGCATTTGAGTCCCAGTTATTCCCCTTTTTGAAATCCACATCTCTGAATAGAAAACCCTGCTTATTCCCAGGTGAAGGGAGCCTGGGGTAGAGGGGTCTTCTTCAGCCTTCCTCTCCAGTTCAGCTACCTGAAGGAGCCTCGGCTCCCTCCCCCAGATCTTCTGGCCGGGAGAGGTGTGAGCACTCAGATGGGCAGGTGGGGTGGCCCGGGCTTATGGCCTTTCCCATCAGCTAGCCTTCTGTTGCGTTCAGAGCATGGACACGGCACCAGAGAGGTACCATTTGAAAGGTCAGTGGGTTTCAAGCCTCATTAGATGCCTTTCTTCTTAAGGTGAAACTTGGCTTTTCGGCACCTTTAAAGATGCCAAGTTACACCTTAACTCTAGGAAAACTGTGGGGTGGGATATGTACGTGAGTTTGGTTTGCTGTTCATCACACCCACTATGACTCTCCCGCCTCTGCCCCCGTTCAGGTTCTCAGCATCATGTAGACAAGGCGCTGAACTTAATTGGGAAGAAGTTCAAAGAACTGAACCTCACCAATATCTACGCTCCTCCACTGCCGTCACTGGCACTGCCTTCTCTTCCAATGACTTCCTGGGTGAGCATGCGCCCAGACCAGACCTTCTTGTCTCCCTTTCACTCCAACCTGCCTCAGATAAGAAACTCCCAACACTGGGCCGAGAAGGCCAGAGTTCATTGATGCCTGTGACCTCTCACCGCTGGCCTCTGGTCAGTTTGGTTCTGCTTCTAGCCTGTGCTCTCTGTGGCTGGGCTTTGGGGCCGAAGTGCTGGTTCAAAGCCAGATGTGTCTCTGTCCCCACTTGGAAGGACCGTTCTTGGGCTCTCCCGCCCTGGCACCTTTTGTGTCTTCAAGGCATTTGCCTAGAAAGGAGTATAGTCTATACAGGAGACTGGGTGCACCAGACTGGCTTGGTGATGTGTTCAGAGTCCCAGCCTAACACCTCGGAGGCCTGGGTGGGACCCACCCTTGTGTGTTTGGATGGGCTTGGAGTGGGTCCTTGTGTTCATTGCTCCTAGTTCTAGTCTAGTGGTGGCCCTGGTGAAGGAATCCCTTCCCCTTCCTTCTCACAGGAGGTACCTGGACTATAAAGGAGAAGAAATTCTCCCCACCCGGCCCCAGGCAGCCAGCCAGGTGGCTCTTCGGAGGGAAAGCTAACATGTTGAGGCCCCTGTGTGCTGGGGTCTGTGGGCTTTCTGGGGCCTGTCCCTCAGGATCCTGCAGCATGCCCACAGCTCTGCTTGAGCCGCCTCTCCCCGGGAGAAGAATTGTAGGGCTCTGTAGGACAGATATGATGACAGCACTTCACACATGGGCTGGATGTGCTGCTTCCGGAGAACTGTCTCCCTGGGGTTGGTTTGGGAGGGTTGACTTCTTGGTTCTGTATCTTGCCCCCTCCAAAGAGTTTGTGCTGTTGGGGGAGGGGTGGGTGTCCTGTTACTTTCCTCTGGATATTGGGGAGTAGGCTGAAGCCCACTCCATGCTTTACTTCTGAATCCTAGCATTTTCTCCCCAGCAGGCTTGGACCAGCCATGCTCTTTAATTGTAAATAATTGAGCAGGTAGATGGCTTCCTTCCCTGGTTCTCTGTGTGGCTTGGTGGAACTGGAGAGGAGGTCGCAGGTGCCTTTCAACTAGCTGCATGGGGGAAGGAGGGAGGTCAGGACTCTTAGTCAGAGACCTGGCCACCTGACTGGAAGGTGGCCTCTACATCCTCCTGTTGAGGGCACCTAGTTGTTGCCTGTAACTTGGCATCAGGAAAACTAGTGTCTAGGGACACGTCATTTTGAGAGCAGTCTTGGCCTCTGCTAGGGTCTTAATGTGGGACCTGACCACGGAGCAACCCACATTCCACATCCCAGAGTGGGGATGAGCTGGGAGGTTGTCTGTGGAGGGCAGAAAGGAGGAGACAGGATGACTCAGACTGTTGGTTTCTTGCTGGCAGGAAAGCAGAGTAGAGGGACCCTGTGGGACTTGGAGCTCCTGGGGTCAGCTCCAGGGCCCAGGTTGCTGGCTGTGGACCTGGGGCCTGCCTACCTCTTACTCTCTGGTGCCTTTTTCTCCATGGCCCCTCATTCCTTGCCCTCCAGAGAGGCCTTTGCCCAGGCCCCTACAGGGCATCCACAGCTGGCTCCTCCCTGCCTTGCGACAAGGCCTCCTCTAGAGGTGATTCTTGGCATTGCAGGATAAGGGCCGCAGGTGCCACACTTTGCATGGCTGAGGTCGTTTTCTTGGGCTTCCTCCATTTGGGTGCCATATTGCTTTGGGCTACCATGCGTTTCCAAAGCTATGCCAGCTTAGAGGCTTGCCTGGAGGCCTCAGGGCTTATGCCAGACATGAGAAGAGAAGGATTACTGCAGTGCCTGCTGCCCCTCCCATTCCTGACAGCTCATGCTGCCTGACGGTGTCACTGTGGAAGTGATCGTGGTCAACCAGGTCAACGCCGGGCACTTGTTCGTGCAGCAGCACACGCACCCTACCTTCCATGCGCTGCGCAGTCTGGACCAGCAGATGTGCCTGTGTTACTCTCAGCCCGGGATCCCCACCTTGCCCACCCCCGTGGAAGGTAAGTGCTGCCCGCGGGTCAGTGGGGAGCCCTGGGCTCAGGCTTTTGGGGGTGGCCTGTGCTGCCCTTGGTTTTGACCCAGGAGGAGGCTGTCCCAAGATCCTTCATTGGAGCAGCATCCCTGAGTTCTTGCCGTCCGCGTGGAGTTACTCTGGGCTGAGTTTCCCAGCTGTCCCAATGGAAATGGTCTTCCCACTGGCTGACAGAGTCCCATGGGGTTAAAGTAGATTTTTGACACATGAGCTCAGATCTCAGCTCTGCCATCTATCTGTTGAGTGGGGCGGTGCCCACTTGTTTCAGGAGTCGGGGTTGGATTGTATGTGTGTTGTATGTAAAGTGCCTGATCCAGATGATGGTTCTCGAAGAAGCTCCTTGACGAGCCATAGACTCCTGCTGTGGGGTGTCTCACCTCCATGTGACAGATGAGAAAACGGGCCCTCAAGTCCGGTAGCTGGCCCAGGTGATCCCTGAGCAGGAACGGGGATCTAAACTCAGTTGTGCTCCTAGGTCTGTGCTTTGTCACTCTTTCCTTATTGCCTTGTTGGCAGGAATCTAATGTCCCAACATCTCATCATCCACCCGTAGCAGGGGCTTCTAACCTGGAGCACCCTGATGGTTTTAAGGCTTTAGGGAAAACTTTGAAGATACCTGTAGCAGAAATAAGGACTTAATCATCAGAGTCTCTTAATGTTACTTTGATCCACAAGTAAAGACTGAACTGGGGTTTAAAAGGTGACTGTGCCAGGGGTTCCCTTTAAGGGTCAAAGTGAGGACATAGTATGGTCAGCTGTGTGTACAGGCCCTCACCCCAGAGTTCTATCTGTCCTGTCCCGGCTACCATGGGGGTGTTGGTGACTGCTGGTGTACTTGTTCCCTGGCCTTGGCTGCCTGGGACAGCTGTGCTCTTGGTGCCTTCCTGAAGCAAAGGCTAGAAGAGGGGGCCTTAAGCCTGGGGATCTTCTTCTGATCAACTTCTGAGTTGCCACAGGCCAGAACAGGCTCTAGATACCAGGTTGACAAGATCTGCCGTACTCGGAGGTTCTTGATTTTTTTCTGGGACTTTAAAAATATACATCTCATTCCCTGAGTTTTAGATTGGCTCCTTCTGGTCAATCCTTGTCCCTCTCAGGTTTTAGTAAGTTTCAGAATAAATGGGTTTGGAAGACTGTTTTTTGGTCTGGAGAGCTTTTTGGGTGGCATACATGGGAGGCCAGATTTCCCATGTCCAGGTCCTTCCCTTGGCCAGTCTTAGGCTCCAGGGAAGCTTTGGAGACTCCTGGCCCCATGGAAGCACAGGCCTCTGAGAAGTAGCATGAGGATGTGGGTAGCATCGACTGGGGTGACCCTTGGTGCCTTGCCCTATGCCAGGAGTACCCACATGCTCTCTTCCTGACCTGCAGTAACGGTCATCTGCGCTGCCCCCGGCGTGGACGGTGCCTGGTGGCGAGCCCAAGTGGTGGCCTCCTATGAGGAAAGCAATGAAGTGGAGATCCGTTACGTGGACTACGGTGGCTATAAGAGAGTGAAAGTGGACGTGCTCCGGCAGATCCGGTGGGTCCACACTCCTCAGACATGCACACTCTGTGTGTGTCAGGGGGTGTGGGATTTCTGCAGAGCTGGCTTAGTTCTACCAAGCCTGGGACATGGGTTGACTCTTTTGGCTGCCTATTCTGGTTTGGCAGAGCCTGATAGGCTGCATTGCTCGCCTCTGCTAGAAGGGCTGGTCTTGTGGCAGAGGTCCCCCGAGTATCCTTGGACAGAAGTGGGGCAGGCTTCTCTCTGGGAACTTGATGCCAGCAGTCCTGCTGAGGTCAGGCTGCAATCAGGCATGCTGGGAGCTGCGACCTGCTGCCCGTCCTGTATGCCTCTGCTTGGCTTCATCTTGGGTTTGGTGGGGGCACAGCGTTAAAGCACCAGGTAAATATTGGCCTGAAATGGAATCATCCTTCAAGTTCGTAAACTGTTCCTTCCTTGCCTTTCTAGATCTGACTTTGTGACTCTGCCATTCCAGGGAGCAGAGGTCCTTCTGGACAGCGTGATGCCCTTGTCAGGTAACAGATGGGGCCTCTGACATGGTGGGAACCATGGTTGAGAGTAGGTCTTTCTCTTTGAGAACCTTCGTTTGTGCCCGGAGGACTTAGGCTAACACAGCGTGTGCCTCTGTCAGAGTTTCTGATTTGATAGTTCAGCGCCGAGGCCCGAGGACGTGCCTCTCTGGCCAGTACTCAGTTGATGCCAGTGCCGCTGGCCCATGAACCACCCTTTCAGGGCCACTGTTCCGGACTTTACCCAGGCCGCCAACTTTGAGAGGTTTCTAACTCGGGCACTTTGTGGAACATGGTTGGGACCTAGGGTCCAGCCTCTGTGGTCAAGGGGTATGTGTGGAGGCGTGTTGCACTGCTCAGCTGGGCCTCAGCCCCCGGGCACCGTGGGGACTGTGCTGACACTCACCTGTGTGGTATCCTAGACTGACCCTGTCCCCAGACAGAAAGGTACTGACAGAGTGATCCGGGGCATGTTAAGTTAGCCTTGCTAGTTTTTTAAAACCTCTGGAAAATGGGATAGTATCTGTCCTTCAGGGAGGCCGAGGGAATCCCATAAACCCAGGAACTGGGATGTGGACGGTGGTCAAGTTGCAGCGGCCGACAACGGGGAATTTTTTTTTGTAGGTGATAGTCCGACTGTGCCCCGCTCTGCTCTTACTGTTCTGGTCCATGTACAGGAAGTGTGCTGGGGGCCCTGCAGGCTCACTGGTGTCCTGGCAGCCTCCTCCTGTTTTCCTTTTTTGCTTTTGTGCAGTTCGCATCTCCGCGGTCTGTCCAGGCCCAGCCAAGGGGTCCCTCCTCCATCAGGCCTTACGCAGACCTCCCTGACCTGCCTCTCCATCCTTGCCGCCTCTTGCCTCGGCTGTGCACTTGTGCGTAGCTGCGTAAGCAGATGGAGAGTGCTGCCCCTGTGCCCTGCCCACCAGTGGGGGGCTGCCCATGCTGTGCTCTGTGGCCCACCTTCACCAGGTGTCACTGCCTCACGTGAGGAAGGTTCGTCCCGGTCAGCACCCAAATTAGATGGTGGCAGTGATGCTGTTCCCCTTGAAGGCAGAGTTTCCGTTCATTTGCTCCTGTCCCCCAGCAGGTAGCCTGTAGCGGGGCCCCCATGAGTGTATCCACTTGGAGCCCCATGGAGGCTTGGCCTCTGTTCCTGCCACAGGTGGCTCTTCCAGACTAAGTTCCCCGGGCCCTGGCAGCATCCGAGGCTTCTGGAAACACCTGGAAATTGTGTGAGTGACAAGGGTGCTTTGCCTCCATGAAAACCTAAATGCTGCTGTTCTTTTTCCTTTTAAAGATGATGACCACTTTTCCCCTGAAGCAGATGCAGCCATGAGCGAGATGACCGGAAATACCGCGCTGCTGGCTCAGGTGTGTGTGTGGGGGCAGGCAGGCTGGACAGGGTCTGTCTGAGGAGCCTCCTGCTGGCTTTTGTGCTGTGCCTCCCACAGCCTCTGTTATCAAGGATCTTGGATTCTTTGACCTTTGAATTCCTTTCTCCTTTGTGGCTTGGGCCCTGGTTTGGTCAGTAGTCTTTAATGAGGGGTGCGTGGGGGAGCTTTGTAATATGCTTGCTTTCTTCTGTTCTGTTTCTAGGTGACAAGTTACAGCCCGACTGGCCTTCCTCTAATTCAGCTATGGAGTGTGGTTGGAAATGAAGTAAGTTCTATGCTTTTCTTGTAATTTATTGGCCAGCAGTCATGGATGGATTTGGAGCTGATTCTGTCACTATCTCCTCTTGAGCTAATCAGAGGTTGTAACTAACCAGTGGACCCCACTGCCCCCACCTGGGGACATTTAGCAATGTCCGGAGATGTTTTAGGTTGCCTCATTTGGGGGTGGCGATGCTAATGGTGTCTGGTAGGTAGAGGCAGGGTGGTGCTGCTAAACATGCCCCAGTGCACAGAATAGGCCCCACAACAAAGTGTCAGTGGTCCTTCTGGGACCTAGGATCTTTCTGGACCCTGTGTCCAGTGGGTTTTCCCACCCCATTTCGTGGTGTTCATGCTTAGATTTCTCTAGTGTACTGAGAAGCCTGCCCTCACGCCAACAGAACGTTCTGTAAATACCCCTGTTAGCCTAGAAGAGTCCTGTCCCCCACCCCCACCCCAATCTTCTGGTACTCGTAGCTTGCGGTGGTCTTCTGGGACCTGGAGCGGGAGGACCCTTGCTGGTCTTGACTGCTGGCCTGGAGGTGCAGTGGGCCGAGCTCTCAAGGGAACTTTGTTTTCCAGGCGGTGTTGATAAACCGGTCGCTGGTGGAGCGAGGACTTGCTCAATGGGTAGACAGCTACTACGCGAGCCTCTGACCCCCGTCCCTGACAGACGCTTCTGGAGTCTTTTTGCACTGTTGAAATTGGGCTTGGCGCTGAGGCAAAGACATTACATCAGAATAACAATCGTTGTCTTCCCCAGAAAGTCGTCTTTTTTCCCTCCACACTGTAGTCATGTTGAGAAGTCTTGTCTCTGAGACAAGGAAGGAACCATGGGTTCTTTCAAAAGCCATAGGATGGTGTTGAACAAGCCAGTCAGTTTAGCCTGGTTCCAAGCCTTTAAAAAAAAAGAAAAAAATGAGAGTAAAACGGTCTCAACCAGGTTGTCCTCTGCCACCTCCGTTCCCTTCTTCCTTCCCACCTCCTCCCCTCACTCAGAACCAGACCAACCGCAGCAGACGGGCCAAGGGATGTGTTGCCTGGGAGGGTTTCTTTTCCTTCAAAATCTTTCTTCAGGGAGCAAGACATGAAATCACTAATTGGTATTGATTATTTGTACAGCTTATGTCAATGAATTTATGATATTTAACCAGTTTTTATAAACTTCATCTAGGTCTCTAGGAAGGCAGACTTTTTAATGCATATGTAAATACGAAGCAGTCAGACCTCCTGCCTTGGTCGGTGGTGGAGGGGAACGTTATCTTGCCAAGCCTGGTTGTAATTTGTAACCATTTTCTATTTGTGCAAACTCTGTAAATATATGTTTAAAAAAATGTAATATTTTGTATAAGATACACTGGAGAACAAAGGGAACTCGAGATTTTTTCCACACCCCACATCATCTGTGAGCAGAGCAGCTGTCAATGCAGGTTTCCTCCTGTGGCTTCCTGCATACTGGACAGGGTGACTGTAGGGGATAGATTGTGAGCGGGGATTTTTTTTTTTCCTGTAAAAATTTGTTAAAAAAAAAAAAAAATCAACTCATTTGAATTACCTTCCCGTGGTGTGTTTGATTCTTTTTTTAGATTGGCTTCAGCATTTTGCCGACAAAAGAAAGTAACTTACATAAATCTTGAACTGTGTGCACTGTAGCTTTGAGTCCCTTTCTTCCAGGGTGAGAGGGTTGGGGTGGGGAGTGAGGAGGTGGTGGTGAATGTGGTGGGCTGGAGGGGCCCCTCTAAAGGAGCCCCAGGGCGCTGGGAAGACCAGTTAGCCAGAAATTTCCTTTTTTTTCCCTCTCTCCTTACCCCACAAGGTGGCAGCCATGCTTCCTCTGGCTTCCCCTAGTGAGAGTCTCAGAAAGCCAGGCCCGAGTTTAAAGCACTGGCTTCCATAATTCTTTGGGTCGTCTCAAGAGATCTTTGAAGTTATGTCCTCTCTTGTGGTGTAGGAACAATTTACACCTACATGGGGAGAACAGAATGAAGTTTTATCTTTTAAGGATTTATTTTACAGGGAGTGTGTGCATACAGGAGGGAGGGGCAGAGGAAGAGGGAGAGAGAGAATCAAGTAGACACCCTCCTGAGCACGGAGCCCAGCATGGGGCTTGATATCACGACCCTGAGATCATGACCTGAATGGAAATCAAGGGTCTGATGCTTGACTGACTGAGCCACCCAGGCGCCCCAGAATGAAGTTTTTATTTAATGGCCTCTCTTTAGGGCAAACGCAGGCTTGGGCCCGTTGGCTTGTGTCTTGGCGCTCCCCACTCCCACCCCCACAAAAGGGGTTTCTGGAAGGTGGAGGCTGCCCCACAGAGCTGCAACTACCCTCCCCGGCCATGGGTAACAAGTGGTTAACAGCATGTTTCTCTCATCTGTAGGATCAGCTCATGGGACCAACCTCAAAGCAATGAAGCAAAATCATGGAGTGTCCCCTGCTTGTACAGAGCTTGGCCCTGGGCAAGCTCTCATGCAGTTGTAGCTGGAGGTCATCCTAAGTCCCAGCAGTAATTGGCTGTGACATTGGCCAGTTTGGGTTACACCCAAGCTTTTTCTGTACAGCTCTGTATCACTGGAGCAGACAAGGGTATGTGGGTGCCCTCAAGCTTGTGTGGGGAGAGTAGCAGAGCCTGGTGTTCAGAGTTGGCCTTTGGGAGCTATTGAGAGGGACCTATAGAATCTGGTGCCTGGTGGGGGACAGGATAGAGGACAAGCCAAAACCAAGTCAGGGTAGTCCAGATAAGATGCTGTTCTGTGGAACAGCTCTTGGGGTGATAAGTTGATGGGTCAGGATCCGTTGGACAAGGCCTCCAGGACTGGGGGAGATGGGCAGTGGGGATGAGGAGCTGGGCTACTGTGGGACTTAATAGTCTTAGCTTTCAGGGGTGAGTCCATTTAAGGAGGCTTTGGTATACGGGAGTAAAGTGAGTTTAGAGGTTGGTGAAGGTCACATACTCTGAATTAACCCTTCTCAGATTATACAGGTTCAGAAAAAGTTGGTTTTGACCATTTTGCTGGTAATCTTGTTGCTCTTACAGAGGGGTAGATTTATTGAGGTCCTCACTCCCCGACTGTGGACATCAGTCCTCTGGACAGTATATTTTGGACATCTGCTTTGAGTTAGCTGGGCCATCCAGGGGATGGCTTAAGCATGGCTTTGAAAACTCATGGTGCTGGAGGGGTGCTGGAAGGGTGCTGGTCACCTGCCCGAGGGTATGGTGGAGCCAGGTGGAGTGCTGGGTGCAGGAGCCTAGAGCTTCCAGTCTGTTCTCACTACAGGTGTTTATTTCAACCGCTTCTCCACCTCCCGCCCCTCACCGGTGCTCGAGGCCCTGCCAGGTGTGCCTGCTCCTGGTGGGGTGTCAGCATGGATGCTGGGGCCCATGTTCCTGCTAAGCCCGATACAACTTTGTGCATACATCTCTTAACCATCTCCAGCTTAAGATAAAACAAGATGAGTAGCTGGAGTGATGGAGACAAGGTGCTCATTTGCAGGAGATAAACTTGGTCCTCAAGACAACCCAGGGAGGCAGGGACTGACCTTGGAAATAGATGATGACTTAGAAAGTGGTTTACAGTTGAACACTGCACTTAAAAGCCAGCCCACTGTCCGAAGGCGGGTCTCCACCACAGCTCCTCTGAAGGATCGTGAGATCTGATCATGCTTCATTCTGCATCCACAAGTAAAGGCTACAGTCATGAAGTCATCACCCCACAAAACAGTCTCATAACTGAGAATGGGAAAAACACCATGGCAGAATGTGATCATTTTGCTTATAGGAGAAATTAAAATTCAAGAAATGTAAACAAAGCCAGGAAGAACATGTAGCATCCCAGCCAGAGTGAACATTTTTGGTCCTTGCTGATCTAAAAAGGAAAAAAAAAAAAACCTCCGCTGGGGAAGGTCATCAGGGATATAGACAGAAAAGAGAACATCTGGGTTGTTTCTAGACCAGCACAGTCCAGGAGAAACATGGGAGCCACACGTGTAATTTTAAAATTTTTCTCTAGGAGCCTCAATAAGAGAAAACCGGGTGAGACTAGTTTAAATTGTTTAATCCAACATTTCAATACATAATGCACATTGAAAATATCAATGAGATTTTATAGTATTTTCGTACTGAGTCTGGGGGAATCCTGTGTGTATATTTTATACTTCCAGCCTGTCTTTTCTGCTTAATCACGGCTCAGGTGCTCAGCCACAGGTGGCTGCCTTGTTGGGTACCAGACTGTCCCATGGATCAGCATCACACCGATACTGACAGCCTTATGTTGATGTTTGTCCTTACTCAGAAAGCTCTAGGTTCTTTTGCACATTTACTTTTCCAGATGACCTTTAGCATGATTTTTTTGAGAGGGAATCATGGTGAATGTTTTACCGACATTTGGAAAAAATAATGCATGTTGTTCGCTTGTTATAAAGTTTTATGTATTATATTAAATTGAGTTTGTAAATTATTCATATCTAGTTTTTCTTTCTTACCCTCTCCCTGCCCTCCCCCTTTTTTTCCTTGTCTGTACTTTCTGTCCGTTCCCAGGAAAAATGCATTAAAAGATTCTGGTTTTCCTGTTCTTAAGTGGAAACTTGTGAAAGATGCTGTTACATTGCTTAGTTTGAAAAAGCTCATGGGTGATATTTTCTCATCAATGTGAGGTATCTTTGATACTCTGGTGCTTTTTGTTTTAAATTTTATATATTTTTTTCTGTCATTTAATGAGGTGGGTGGATGGCTTGTAAACAGCACACTGCTAGAATTTTTTTCTTTTAGTGAAATCAAGAGGTCAGTATGTGAATCTGACTTGTGCATTGTGATCACTGTTGCAATATTATTATTTGCCATTTAGTTCATTTTTCTGTTATGTTTTGTTTCTGGGTGGTTTTCGCTTTTTGGTTGGTGATTTTTTTTTTCCCCTTATTTGCTTGATCAGGATTTTTCCCTGTAGTAAATTTAGCATTCATTTTTATTTTTTTAAAGATTTTATTGGGAGGGAGACAAACCATAAGTGACTCTTAATCTCACAAAACAAACTGAGGGTTGCTGGGGGAAGGGGGGTGGGGATATAGACATTGGGGAAGGTATGTGCTGTGGTGAGTGCTGTGAAGTGTGTAAACCTGGCGATTCACAGACCTGTACCCCTGGGGATAAAAATATATGTTTATAAAAAATAAAAAACAAATTTATAAAAAAATAAAATAAAATCCACACTGTTGTTTTAAACCTGAAAAAAAAAAAAAGATTTTATTTGAGAGAGAGTAGAGAGCACAAGCGGGGGGTGGGGGAGGGTGGACAGAGAGGGGCAGAGGGAGAGAGAGAAGCAGACCCCTGGCTGAGCAGGAAGCCACATGAGCCAAAGGCAGATGCTTAACTAACTGAGCCACCCAGGCACCCCTAAATTTAGCATTTAAGATCTTGTTTCTGTGTTTTAAGTGGGAATCAGTTATTGGCCAATAACTTTGAATTTATGTTTCTCTTAATATCACATAGTTAAGGCCTCCTTTCCCCCCAAAAGGGAAACTCAGCAGAAATATTTCTGCCTTTCTTCCTACAAATGTGCATCCGCACACTTTCTCTCTCTCCTGGGTTTTGTCAGAATCATCTAGAATCCTGTTCAGATTACAAACTTTTTTCACATATGCCTCTATCTCCGGAGTTTTAGAATGGTGACATTAAACTTCGGTCATGTTTCCAGAAAACATTTTTTTATTAACATATAATGTATTATTTGTTTCAGGGTTACAGGTCTGTGAATCATCAGTCTTAACAATTCACAGCACTCAGCATAGCACATACCTTCCCTCCCCAGTGTCCATCCCCCAGCCATCCTATGCCTCCCCAACCCCACCTGCCAGCGACCCTGTTTGTTTCCAGGAAACATTTTTGCCCAACTTTGTTTCTCCAGCTTTCCTCCTGCTGTTTCTTATACACCTGCTCCTGAGGTCTTTATTTTGATTGACTTCGTCTGGAGTATGACTTTGACTTTTTCTGGTTTTCAGAACACCTTGTATGTCTGAACATTTCTTTGTGTCCCGACAATACCAGCAGTTATTAGGCTGAGCATTTCTGCTGGAGTGAAGGTCACCTTGCCAAAAATTCTCCCCTCCCGCCCTGCAATCCTTGTATTCTTGCACTCAGGCATGGTCCCTGAAAGGTGGGTAGAGGCAGTGTGTGTCCCAAGAGGCAGACTCACTTGTTCTCTCCCTCCCGATGGTAGCTGTGTTGCAGGTGGAACCTAAGCCATGCACCTGCATCCCAGCGTGAAGACGACATAGAGCAGGGTTGCAGCCAATCCCTGGATGTTGGTATGGGAAGCAAGTCTGGTGTAAGTCACTGGGATTGAGGTGGTGTCTCATCTGCAACCTGTTCTAGCCTATCCCGATTGATGGTCTCTCGTCCTGGGCCCCTGACCTTTGCTCTGAGGACTCAGAGCTCTGGCCATGGGGCTTGGGGCAAGTTTCTCGCCCTCTCTCCCCCATCCCCCCATCCGTAAAACCTGGGGGTGACTTAGATGAACACAGAGGTACTTGCCAGCTTTGCCTTTAGACTGATTTGTTCTGTAAATAAGAGCCTTCCTGTAGATTCCTGTTAATGAGGCTGACTGACTTTGTATTTTTACAAAGCAAATTATCTAAGTGAGATTTTGGCTGTTTG